TATGGGATATGACACCTCTGCTCAAAGGGATAATATCCTCTCTTTGTCCTATGCTTGCCTCTCTGCTCATCAAATTTCCTCTAGAACTGGAGTATGCAAGTCTACTGTGGCCAAGTTTATCAAAGAAAGCCACCTGGATAAGGAAAACTCTTGTTGTTAGGTACCGTGCCGGCTCAAGAGGCAGAGGGGTCGGGGCTTGGCTTCAGCTCTTGTGCTGCGCCTTTAGCTGAGTACGTGCCCCAAATTTGGAGTGGATCCAACGTTGTCCAACGATAGGACGAGTGGACCACTTAGGTCCGCTTTGAGGGTTGGGAAGTAAGAGCTGCTAGCTGCGGACCGACTAGGAGCAGAGCGGAGAAGGCGGGGAACGATGCGGAGGGTGGGTAGAAACCAGGGGGATATTTGATAGGAGCGGAGGTGGCGGAGGATAATGTAGAGGATAGGAAAAGGGGTGATAGGAGGATATTGATAGGGGCAGGGTAACAAGGGAAAGACTTAGAGCATGGCTCTAAGTCGGAGCAGAGGGTCGGAGGGTCAGAGGTGACAACAAGTTGAAACTTGTGTCCAGAGGAGGCAAGGTCCTACTGAGAATTCCCACAAGAGGTAACTGTGAGAAGACAAGTAATATTAAGACTAAGGAAAAATATCTAAGTACAGGATATGTTATATACTTCTATGTGAGGCAGTGATCAGGATAACTATGTAGTAAAGCTATGTACCAAGGATATAGTTTGTAAGTACTTTACATAGGCGAAGACATAAGTCGGAGCGGATATCAATATGTACACGTCAGATCAGCGATCGGGCAGTAATAGGAATTACCGGTGATCCGGAAGTAAGAGTCTATGTACCGAAGGGGAATGTATATGTCTAAAAGGGGAAAGGGATCCAGTTGAATGGAGAGGCTTATGGAAGGGGACCGGGTGAGCGGTCGAGCGGAAGCATAGGGCGGAATGTGGGTTTGTGATAGGATGGAGTGGAGAGGGTCGGAAAGCGGAGCAGATATCAGTATTGGAGCGGTCGGATCTGGTATATGACACTTGTGGAGAACATCCACCTCTACTCATAAGAGAGCTATCATCCAACATATCACTACAGAAAAGGCCAATAATGCTGTCCAAGCCACCCATTATATCAATTCCACCATCACAACCACTGTCTCTTCACAAACTGTGAGGGATGTTCTCAAGGCAGCTCATCTCAAGGCAGTAACAAAGAAGAAATGCCTCTTCTCTCTATCAAACATAGGCAGAGAAGACTACCTTTAGCTTGGCCCATCAAAACTGGACTGTAGAGGACTGGAAGCATGTTATATGGTAAGATGAGACCAAAATCAATAGGATTGAGTCAGATGGGAAGGTATATGTGTGGAAAAAGAAGAGGAATTCTCTAACAGACAGAGAGGTTAGTAAGACTGTCAAATTTTAAGGAGGTTCTCTAATGGTATGGGGCTGTATGGGATGGAATGGTGTGGGTATGCTTGCTGAAGTTGAGGGGAGGATGGATGCTGAGCAGTATGTGGACATTCTAAATGACCACTTGCTGCCTAGCATAGCTGAATCAGGGATTGATAAAGAAGACATCATTTTCCAACAGGAGAATGATCTCAAGCACACATATAGGAGAGCCAGACAATGGTTTGAAGAATATAATATCAATGTTCTTGATTGACTAGCACAGTCCCCTGATGTCAATGTCATTGAACATCTCTGGGGAACACTCTCCCATGCCCTTTTTGTCTCTGTCAACATAATCCAGTGGCCGTTCTTCCTGTAAGTCTTGAATGTGCAGTTATGATTCTTCATGATTGGATGTATGTTCACTGGCGAGATCGTGTAATGCAGCTCATCCAAGATGAAAATTTCCATCAAGTGCCAGCCTCCCCATGGCACGATGAGGTTCAGATCCCTTGTTGGATACTGAGGTGTGCCAAGTAGGATATTAATGGCGCATGATCCCGTGATAACCCCATATGTGCTTGTCAAAACTTGGTTGAATTTTTCGATGCGCTCAGGCATATATGGTTGCAAAATGTTTTGATAATGTTTTGTTATGATCTCCTGTGCACTGAATCTTATAGCACAGCAAATGTGGGTGAAACACAGAAGCTCCAGCATTGGCAACAGTTTGAGGACCATTACTATTAGTTCATGTGCATCCAGAACTGTATCTGTTGCGTTATTTTTTTGTTTTGATGTTGTTCAGGGAGCCCCTTCAGTGACAAACTCCATATTATACAAGGCAACTGATGTGCATAATATCCTGTATAACATGGACCAGTGGACCATGGGCTGATGATGAAGATATCCTCGATGTTAACGGATGGGCCGAGAGGGATATTATTACCGATGAATACAGGTGGGCCCATCTAGGTAATATGTAGAGTAGGATGGACATGTATATTATAGACAGGTGGGCTGAAGAGAGATGTATATTATATGGACGGGTGGGCCAATGTAGTGGTATTATTATATAAACGGGTGGGCTGGAGGAGCAGTTTATTATATATGATATAGACGGGTGGGCCGAGGTAGTAGTATATTATATAGATGGGTGGGCCGGAGGAGCAGTTTATTATATATAATATAGATGGGTGGGCCGAGGTAGTAGTATATTATATAGACGGGTGGGCCGACGTAGGGTATATTACATAGACAGGTGGGCTGAGGTAGTAGTATATTATATAGATGGGTGGGCTGGAGGAGCAGTTTATTATATATGATATAGACGGGTGGGCCGAGGTAGTAGTATATTATATAGACGGGTGGGCCGGAGGAGCAGTTTATTATATATGATAGACGGGTGGGCCGGCATAGGGTATATTACATAGACAGGTGGGCCGAGGTAGTAGTATATTGTGTAGATGGGTGGGCTGACTTAGGGGTATATCATGTAGATGGGTGGGCCGAGGTAATTGTTATCATATAAACGGGTGGGCCAAGAGAGCGATTTATTAGATATTATATAGATGGGTGGGCTGAGGTAGTTGGATATCACATATACGGGTGGGCCCAGATACGTATCATATAGATGTATGGGCCGAGGTGGTAGTATATTATATAGACGTATGGGCCGAGGTAGTAGTATATTATATAGATGGGTGGGCCGAGATGGTTGATATAATATAGACGGGTGGGCCCAGAAGAATGAGTGTTATAAACATCAGTGGGCTGAGATAGTTGGATAACATACTAATCAGTGTGCTGATGTAGAAACCAGTACATACCCACTGTATGAGTGCATACACCTATCATCGACCACCGAAATGAGAAACACGAAACCCTGAATACAACATTTCATAAATTAGACAAATCACCAAGTACCTAATACCGAGTACCAAGTTCCGGGTAACTAATCCCGATGTCCGGGTAACTGACACCAATGTCCAGGTAACATCCATCAATGTCCAGGTAACTGATATTGAGTTCCGGGCATCAAGTACCAAGTTCTGGGTAACTGATATCGACATCCGGGTAACTGATATTGAGTTCCGGGTATTTCATAAATTGGACAAATGACCAAGTTCTGAGTTCCGAGTTCCAGGCATCGAGTGCCAAGTACGGAGTTCCGAGTTCCGGGCATTGAGTACCGAGTTCCAGGCATTGAGTTCTGAGTTCCAGGCACTGAGTTCCGGGCATCAAGCACCGAAACACGAAACTAAAATACAACATTTCGTAAATTGAACAAATCACCAAGTACCGAGTTCCAAGTTCTGGGCATCGAGGGCCAAGTACCGAGTTCCAAGGTCCAGGCATTGAGCTCCGAGTTCCAGGCACCGAGTTGTATTTCAGTGCTCGATGCCCGGAACTCAGAACTCGGTACTTGGTGATTTGTTCAATTTATGAAATGTTGTATTTTAGTTTCGTGTTTTGGTGCTCGATGCCCAGAACTCAGTGCCCGGAACTCAGAACTCGATGCCTGGAACTCGGTACTCGATGCCCGGAACTTGGAACTCCGTACTTGGCACTCAATGCCCAGAACTCGGAACTTGGTACTCGGTCATTTGTCCAATTTACGAAATACCCGGAACTCAATATCAGTTAAGGTAGACCTTGCGCTGTTTCAGCAAATGTCACGTGATAAAGCGTGATAAAGTGTTACAAAAGTATTGATCATGTATACGAAGGGTAACAGGACTAGTTTGAGAAAATCAGAGACGGATATGTTGTAGAGGATAGCTCTAGCTACAAATCATCTGTCACTGATTGTTTGTTCACGCTGTGTTTAGAGAGAAGATGTGTATTTTTTAGTCTACAGAGGTAATCAGAGTTCCACTGAGTCCAAATTTGCCGCCACAGATGCCGTTAGCGACGTCTGGAGCGACACTTCCACCCTCTTCACTGCTGGAATGCCCAAACGCTCATCGAAGGTGCGCTCGGCCCTTGAAAACCTTGGGCAGCATGCAAAGAAGAGGAAGTTTTCAGCACAAGTAGACAAGGAGAACAAGGTGAATATTGAACATACTCAAATATTCTGCATCACTGACAATTAATGCCTTCTTTTTTCAGTGCCCTACAGTAGACATGACTATTCCTGTATTAGTCTCACATCACGAATATAGACCAGACATTCAGTTGCCTGTTGTCACTAAGGAAGCCCTGGACATACCCATGGAAGATCAATCAGACTCGAGCTCAGACTCATCGGACTCGGATTTGGACCGTGACTTGAATTCCAACTGCAACGACTTGGAGTTAAATTGGGATGCTGAGGTGTGCATCGAGATTGAGCATGGACCGAGTGAGGGCTATGAGATGTTTGAGGGAGCTGTGCATGAGTTCTCGGCTGCTAACACAGAGAATTTTGGGCATGGGGACATGGCTCGCGTTAGTCCTCTGCCGAAGGAAAGTCTAGGAGAGAAGGAATTTATCTTCCCATGGCATTCTATTGATGCACGCACTCCACCCAGCCTCGACTCAGCAAGACTTGCTCTAAGCGATCTCGAAAACCTTCTTCACCCGACTGGACTCACCTCCATTCTTGAAAAGCGCTTGTCATGGATGGAATATTTCCTCCGTGCATTCGCAAAGGGTGTGGCATGGTCTGCTGCAGCACTGCAAACTGCACAGTTCATCAGGAAGGGGCCATACATGTCTAGAAAGGTGTGGGAGTGGTCAAAGGCCTACATCCAGGACCGCAGGAACCTACCAATGTCCAAGAGCAGCCGAGAGCAGAGCAATTCATGGATTGAGGATGAGGATTTGAAGGACGAGTTACTCGTCACAGCCTCGGCAATCATCGAACATCTTGCAAAACCAGACATACAACACCAATACAATCTGTCAAAGACAGTTTCATTAGCGACAGCTCAGTCCTGGATGAAGACTTGCGGTTTTCACTGGACTACTGCCAAAAATGGGCAATATGTCGATGGTCATGAACAAGAGGATGTTGTCAACTACCGACAGAACATATTTCTACCTGCATGGTATACACTGGAATCAAAAATGCGAAAATGGTCGCCTGTAGATCCTGCGAAGCTTGACGAGGGACAGTCAATGTCAGAAAGACGTACTGTGGTATGGTTCCATGACGAGTCCATGTTCTACGTACACGACCGCTGCCAAAAGCGATGGGTACACAAGGATGAAAAAAGCACACCGCAGCCCAAAGGACAGGGGGTGTCTCTCATGGCAGTAGACTTTGTATCCGCGGATTACGGCTGGTTACGATCGCATGATGGAACACAATCAGCACACATCCTCTTCCATGTGGGAAAAGCAAGAGATGGGTATTTTACCAATGATGAAATTATTCGGCATGCTGAAAAAGCGATGATGATCCTGGAAAAAGATTATCCCAATGATGACCACATCTTTATTTTTGATAACACTTCGACTCACCTGAAAAGAGCTGATGATGCAATATCCGCTCGTCAGATGCTGAAAGGTTGCAGACACTGGGGGGTCGACACACCAGTATGGGACGCACAAGGAAAACCGATCTGTGGCCCTGACGGGAAGCCAACAAAGCAGAAAGTTCGCATGGCCGATGGTTTTCATGATGGAGCACCCCAGGAGTTTTATTGGCCAGAGGGGCACAAGAAGTCAGGCCTGTTCAAAGGCATGGCAGTAATTTTGATGGAACGTGGTTTTGATGTCGAAAAGCTAAAGGCCCAGTGTAGAAACTTCGAGTGTGCAGCTGGAGCAACAGATTGTTGCTGCCGTCATATTCTCTATTGTCAGCCTGATTTCAAAAATGTCGAGTCACTCTTGGAGACCACTTGCAAGGCTAGGGGGTTTTCAGGTCATGTTTCTGCCAAAGTTCCATTGTGAGTTGAACTTTATCGAGCAATGTTGGGGTTTTGCGAAATGGATTTATCGCACCTACCCCATGTCAACGAAGGACAGTGACCTGGAGATTAATGTGGTTAAGGCGCTGGATTCTGTTCCTATCGCCAGCATGCAGAGGTAAGCCATCACACAATTTGGAAGATGAGTCATTTTCTGATTTGGACTTACTGCGCAGATTTGCAATCAGATCACGGCGCTTTATGGATGCGTATCACAAAGGCCTAAATGGGAGCCAAGCTGCTTGGGCAGCAAAGAAATATTGTGGACACCGTTTTCTCCCTGGTTCAATCTTCACCGAGCTCGATGCAGCACATATAATCTAGGTGAATTTTGTTTATTATACTACAATACATACACATCTACATTATCATCAAACTACACTACTTACTTACCAGTACAGTACTTACTCAAAGTCCATAGTTTATCTATGCTGTCCATAATAGGAATTTTGACCGAACTTTTCGGTCTCGGAAGGATTACCCGTCCAGCCAACATACACGTCACACTTTGGTCACAGCATGTGATGTTTGCTGAAACAGCGCAAGGTCTACCTTACCCAGATGTCAATATCAGTTACCCGGAACTTGGTACTTGATGCCCGGAACTCGATATCAGTTACCCGGACGTCGGTATTATTTACCCGGACATCAGTATTAGTTACCCGGAACTCGATGATTTCATTCTTTGGGTATAGCAGAGGTACAATGCATTTCAAGAACATTTACAGAAATCTAACTACCAAATTATGTAGACATTTCAACCTCGCCCAGATGACCCTCATCATGACCTTCACCTTCAACCTTGACCAGATGACCCTCATCTAGGCATTGTCATGGGTACGGGTAACCCGCACGCATCACAGGTACGGGTACCTCACGGGTACGGGTATGGGTACAGCTACTAGGTACCTGGTACCCGTCCAATCCAAAACGGGTCATGAGCCTATATTTTAACAAAACTTTAACTTAATACAACTGTACAGTAGCCAATCTTAATTATATCAAACATGACTAAAAAAAACTTCCGAAATCTCACGCACTACCTCCCTTGGCAGCTATGTTTGGCAAGCGTGTCACCAAGCTCACGGAAAAAGCAGCCCAGGCCATCGCTGATGGAAGCATGAAGCTGAAAAGGAAGGCCAGCAGTTTCAGCCGTAAGGAACAACCAAAGAAATCTAAGAAGGCACCTTCAACATTAAATGAATTCATTGTCACCTCATCTCCGAGTCCCCCACCTGATACTCCTGATAGTCAACTGAATCTTCACCATCGAGCCAGTGTTTGAACTGAAGAGGAAGAACAATCATTGTACGAGGACACTATTGTCATTGACTCAGACATCGAGTCCGTAAACTCAAAGCACAGTGATGCAGAGTCACAAACAGAGTCATCAGACACGGAGCTTGGTGTGTGGTGAATGACTATACTAACTCAAATAATCATTATTTGATGCAGAACGGCTGAAAAAAGGATGGTCCTCACCCGTGTATGCCTTTTTTGAACCCGTTCCGAGTATTGAGTATACCGGTGGCCGTCGTTCACATGTCTTCAAGTGTATGGCCAAAGGGTGTAAGCAGCGTGTCTGCCGCTACCTCAATAAGGGAGATGCCAAGTCCACGAGTAACATGGCCAAGCACACTAAAAATTGCTGGGGCGAGGCTGCATATCAAGCTGCACAGGGTTCTGGGACTGCAGAGTCAGCACATGAAACAGTAGTGCGAAGCATACTCCAAACAGGCTCAATAACTTCAGCATTCGAGAGAAAAGGTAAAGGGAAGGTAACTTACTCCAATAGGCAGCACTCAAAGACAGAGGCCCGCGCTGAAATTGTTTGATGGGTTGCGGAGAGCTTGCGACCTTTCGAAACTGTTAATGATCGCGGGTTTCAGGCACTGATGAAGACCGGAAGGCCCGAATACCATATTCCATCACCATCAACAGTCTCTCGAGATGTTAAGCTGGTTTTTGCAAATGTCAGGCAGCGAATAGCACAGATGTTGCAAACTTACGATGGTGACATTAACTTTGCAACGGATGCTTGGACATCCCCAAATCACAAAGCTTTCGTGGCAATCATGGTCCATCTTGAGTATGAGGGTGAGCCGCTCGCAATGCTCCTCAATATTGTGGAGGTCACAAAATCACACTCGGGACTCAACCTCGCAGAGGCATTTGCACTTGTACTGTCAGATTTTGGCATTTCGGACAAGGTATGGATTCCCGCCATATTATATATACTACAATGAACTCACATCCTCAACAGATCCTTAGCATCACGGCCGACAATGCCTCAAGCAACGATACCATGATTACCGAGCTCGCGGACATGGTGGGCCACTTTGGCAGCAAAACAGCACGGACCCGCTGTTTCTTGCATATAGTCAATCTCATAGCCAAAAGCCTACTTAAACAATTTGACGTACCAAAAAAGCAAGCCAATGAGTACCTAGGAAGCTCTGAGAAGGAGCTGCAGGCCATAGTGGAAGAAATCGAGGTTGAAGATGAGGCTACCATAGCTGAAAATGGTGACGGCGATCCCAACGCTGATGACATCAACGACACTGACAGCTGGACTGACGAGGTTGGCAACATGACAGAAGAAGAGCAGGAACAACTTGAGGAGAATATTCGTCCAATTAGATTTGTTCTGGTCAAAGTAAGTTCATCAACCAAAGAACACCAACCAAGGCACTCACTGATTGAACCAGCTACGAAAACTTGCGTACAAAATTGTACATTCGTCGACCTTTCTCCTGCCCGAGTGGAAGCAAAAGTTGATAGACTTGAAGCTTCCTGTGAGGATGATGCCTTGTGATGTTTCGACACAGTGGAATTCCACCTTCAACATGCTGGAGTTTGCAATCAAATATCAGCAGGCTCTGGATGCTGTGACAGACACACAAAAACTGGGATTGGGCACGTATGAGCTGGATGATGTTCTCAAGGTATGTCACATGTCATGTCACATGTCACCATAACACTAACACATTGTTTGGTAGATCCTCAAGCACACTACATTGTTCTTTTCGTGTGGAACACCAAACCTTGCGATGGTGATTCCCGCGATGGATCACATCAACACCGTCTTCACCAATGGCATCATTAAGACACAAACACTTCACCCTGCTATTCGTGCTGCCCTCCACGTTGCAAAGATAACTCTCAATAGGTACTACTCACTAACTGATGAATCTGAAACATACTGGATAGTGATGAGTAAGTTTTTACTTGTCCTGTTGTTCTGATTCTGATTCTTTTCACCCCACCAGTCCTACACCCATGCTACAAGCTAGACTACTTCACATCCGCGAGATGGCAGGACGACTGGATTTCCACGGCCCGCAACATTGTTCAACAAGTATACGAGTGCTCGTACAAATCTTGTTTGCCCACACCGGTTGCTGAGGAGGGGAGAGCAGGTACTGCAGGTGTGACAAACAAGGTGCATCTCCTCATTTTTTCGTTCTCGCTATCAATTCATGTACATTTGACAGGATGAACATGCTAACATTTTCGATAATTTGCCCGCTCTCGCAAAGACGAAGCACTCACTGTCACACCATAATGAATTGGATTCCTATCTCAATGCACCCATGGAGGACAACATCGACAATGTTATTGTCTGGTGGATGCAGCATCGCACTACCTATCCTTGCCTGTTGTGTATGGTGCTTGATTACTTGACTATTCCAGGTGCATGTGTTTTTTTCTCGTTTACTACTATTTTTAACCTTGTGTTCGCAGCTACATCTGTTGATGTTGAGCGTGTTCTCCCATGGTTGCTTGCTGTTGTCACACGTACGGTCTCGACTTTTGACTCAAACCACTCACGCACTCCTGTGTCTTGGTTGTTGGAGCCTGTTAGGGCTTGTCAAGGATAAGGATGTCTTACCTGTAGCTTGTTTACCAGATGTCGAAGGTGATGAAAAAGAGCTCGAGGATGGATGGGACTCGATAGTTTTATCATAGTAGCACTACATGTATCCGCCGTGGCCCGTGAATGCAAAGCTCTGAGTCACCATCTCGATACCCATCCTGAGACCCGTACCCGTCAGTACCCACACCTGTTAGTACCCGCGGGTACACGGGTATGGGTACGGGTAGAGCTCTTGATACCCGCAGGTATACCCGTGCTGATGCCTACAAACGGCCTGCTTCGCTCCTTCCAGAAAACATCTTATTTGATGGGGCTGTGGCCCGTCTTAGGGTGCACTCTGAGCATTGCATGGGTGCTTTGAAAAAGCACTGGCAGTGCTTGAGGGGACTTCGCATCAGGATCAACTCGAAACACCAACATCGAGCAGCATGTCAATGGATGACTGTTGCTATCATTTTGCATAACCTTGTTATTGATGTTGAAGGAGCTGCAAAGGGGAGTCATTTTGCTGCTGCACATACTTGAGAGGAGGAACAAGATGATAGAGGACTTGCAGATCCTCCTATGGATAATGATGAGCAGGATGGTGAGGCAAAGCGACGGCAATTGGTTGAAGAACTACTAGCATTTCAACAGATGTAACTAAATATCCGTGAACTTGCATTACAAGCTGGCAGGGCACTCGATAGCACTTGGCTGACACGGCAGCGCATGTGACTTATTTTGGTTTGTTTACACCTACGTACGAATTGGATAGTATTGGGGGGTGTGAGCATAAGCACGGATAAGCATAAACCGTAAGCTCCCAGGGGTGAGGATCCCTAATGTCGCTATAATGATAGCAAAGTCTGTAACTTTTGGCAAATTACCAGACAAGAGAGTCTGGCAGAAAATGTGGTGATATTCTCGTGTATTTTCACACTTTATCCACATTTTACCCTTTTCATAATCTACCGGTTTGTGCTGTGGTGCTGACGATCCGAACAATTAGAGACGAAGAAGACCGACCGATCCGAGATGGTTGAGGAGGGAGAGTGACAGGTGGTCCGAGCCCAAGCCAAAATGGACATTGTCGAGCGACGCGTTGATGTCGGCTCGTGTCCTGCAATATTTCACTTATTCATTTGATATATTTTTTGTTTCTATATAGCTTACTATAAGAACGCCACTGGTAGCACGAGCGCATCTCAGCCTTTTCCAAGAGACTGAGATGTGAGTACATAGTCTCTACATATCGACTAGAACGCAGCTAACGAGTCATTAGTATACTTGTTCATTAGGTACTTAGCTCGTTGCACGAGCCTTTTCCAAGAGACTGAGATTATACTTGTTCATTAGAACGTCCCCGAAGGCCCGCGATATAATTACTCACCACACGCCCGTGCTGCAGCAGTTGGCGGTCAACAAGGAGCCCGACACGACTCATATAGTGTCATTCTTTTTCAGTCTTCCATTACAAATGCCTTCGTAAACGATTTCGTCAGTTCTCCCGATCAATTACTAGACGCTGTTTTGCGTTATGATGCTGATGGAGGCACCAACTTCACTGTTGCGGTTCAGCAGGCCCAATCAGTCATGGAACAACATTGGAGCACAGAATGGTGCGTCAATCTGACCATGAAAGTGTTTGAGATCTTTGACAGTGTTTTCAGGAGCCCTGTAATGATATTCTTGTCGGATGGCGAGTGCCATATCGCAGACCAGACTGTTCAAGATTTGTGTCATTCCGCGGTTCGTCTTGGGTTCGTGGCTGGTTTTCCTTCCTGGATTGCCAACCTATGACACACAATCTAGCAAAGCATTGTCATTTCACGCAGTATCATTTGGTCCAGATGGATCTTCTACTTCCTTGCGGAGAATGACTCAAATTGCACTTGGCATCCAAAACAATGCCCCAAGAGATCCTCTGGCCCCAGCAGCGGCAACAGCCGCGTCTTCATACACGCAGGCCTTAGACACGGTAAGAGTGCTGCAAGAACTCACACTAAGCATGATTAACACACATTTTGTTCTATCCTTACTAGATCCAACTTGCCGAAACGTTCCTAGGAATCGCAGAATCGCTCAGAAAGCCGAGAGGGTCTCTCATCCACTGATTGGAGGATGCGTGGAGAAATTGCATGTCAGAAATAAGGTCAAGGTTCAGTGTACAATAGTTAGCTTGTCGTGATGCTCTGAAAATCAAGATGTACATTATCTGTTTTTCTTCTGTCTTCCCGTTATCGAGTTCATGGCACCAGATGCCCGACCCTTGTTAGGCTTGTCTGACTTAGGAGTCTGATATCTAATGGACATCTTCATACTAGTGAAAGATTACAGCAAGGAAATTACATAGGGCACTCAAGATATTGTTCCACCAAAAAAAAAGATAGTATGGCAGACAGTCTGACTTACCTACCGCTACATCCACCGCCACCGCAACCTCCACCTCCACCGCAACCTCCACCTCCACAGCCGCCGCCTCCACCACATCCCGTGCCGCAGGCACCGGCAGCAGACATGCTACAAGCTATACCAGTCGCGCAGCCACCTGCGCCCTGCAAACTTGATATCAGCTCCTCTCGTCCTCCGAACACAACAACAACGCTCACCATGGCACAGCCCAAACCTCCCTTCACCACGCTACCAGTAGCGGCAACGCATCCACCAGGATAATAAGAATACATCGGCACAGGATACAAAAATGCAATCCCGTGATCAACATTCTCATCCCTTCTCACCACCCTCCCATTCTGCTCTGCCTGCAGTCTCCGCGATTCTGCCTTGCGCGCGCATTTCTCCCGGCGCCGCAGGCTCGCGGACATGTTATGCAGCGCAAATACGGCGTTGTGATCACTTGTGTGAGTGGCAGCGCGTGCGTCTGACTGGGGAGGGAGTAGGAGCATGTTGGCGTCTTGGGAGGAGGAGACGATACGTCGGAGCTTTTGACCAATCGTGTCTCCTGGGAGTGGACACCCGCAGTGCATGTAGGGAACGTGATAGTGGTCCTAAGATTTGTAGAGGTTTGAATCAAGTTATCGTTGTTCAAGGAAAGTAGCTTACATTCCAAGCTCGACAAGTAAGGTCGAAGGAGGTTGCGAGTTCACCTTCTTCCACTTTATCATCGCTGAAAAATGAACACTTATCATGTGTGTTGCATAGCATACTCGTGACAACACCCACTGATCAACATATCGTCCTACGAATGCAAGGCAGTCGTTCTGATACCGACTCGCCATGAGCTGGTGAGTATGCCACCCGAGGTCGATGTCGAGCGTGGGCACAAAGAACGACGCAGGCGATTCTGCCATGAGGCCCAAGAAGCTGCAAAACGATGTTCTTGTTCTTGTGCGGTTGGCAGAGAAAATGCACAAAGCACGCACGCGTGATACCGAGCTACGCAGTGTTGTAGTGCCACCGTGTCCGCCTCGCTCGAGAAATATTCTGGCTCCGTCCACCCAAGATCGACCATTTTCTTCACGAACGAGGCTTGCCGGAGGACCTAGATTCATCTATCAATCCTCGGCTTACGATAAATGTTGAGAATCTACTCACAGCACCGACTAGATCGATTGAAAACACCCTGTCGTCTGTGTAGGCACTCATGATCTTGGTTAACCTGTCCCTCAATTGAAAAAAAATGGATTTTTTGCAACAAAAAGACCCACAGTCTTGGCTTCAAATGTATGCTCAGCCCGGTACGCATGCGCGCAGCGTCATACTTGACGTTTGTCAAGACCCGGCCCACGGGATCGCTTGCCTTGTTCTTTTTGAAAAGAATGCTCGAGCTGAGGACGCGCTTTGTGATCGTGTCTCCGCGCGTAGTGTCGTGGATGTTACGTGATGTATGAAGGGTTCCGCTGCGTATATGAGATATTAGCTTGTCGTTCATGGTGCCAGAAATCGTAAGCAATGCGACACTCACGCCAAGTATGTATCAGGCGCTGTTGGCTCGACAATGTTTTTCACAAACTTGTACAGGCCGAGAAGTTCTTTGGTGATGGGGTGAGCACATTCACACTCAACACTAAAGTTGCTCTGGGCATATCCCTTCCCGTTAGGTTGCAGGAACGCTGTGCTCATCTGTCAGACTGGATTTCCATGCAGGCAGGCACAAGGTACATACGTGCAAGAATAGTGGCACAACAGTAAGGGCACTCGATGGATTTGTGCGTGAGAACCGCAGCAGAGGTAAATGGGTCATAAGGTGTTTTAGTACGGCGCTCCCAAGCAGAGACGCGGTCATGCTGCGGTGCGTCAGTAGTTAGCAGATCGGGGTTAGCCTGGCATAGGTTCAATGACGTTGGGACATTTGCACAAAAGTGTAATGGCGCACAAGAAGTGTGGGGAAGTAATCGGTGAAACTTTTGAGAGGTTTGAGCTTGGAGACGCGCGCGGTGTCTTCCGCATACCAGCTGCAGATGCGACCAAAAACATAAGGTCTATCGCTCCACTCATGAGGAATGACATGCTTGCCTCGGATTCAGAAGATAAGCATGCCATACCATGGTCACATCAATGGGTGGCAAGCGTTGCTCCACTTCATCAGATTGTTTGATTGTCAAGCACCACCTCTCAAACCTGCGCTCCACCAGTACAGTGAGTTATCGATGCAAAGCGTGCTCAGAATGCTGGACCACATACCGTTCAACGGCCAAATTGACGAACCATACCCAACGTTTCTCGCTGTCCGTCTCCAATCCTGCGACAAGACTCTCGCTGGCGGTGACGCGCTCCTTAAGATGACTGAACGCCGCTAAGAGCTGAAGATGGGCCTTAAGCTGGTCTGGACGGACAAGGTGCCGGGTGCTGCGTCGTCCGATGATGAACGTCTCTGGAAGAGAATACTGTGGTGGTTCTGGCTCTGGCTGGGGAAGAGTAGTAAATGGGGGGAGCTGATCAGTCATGTTGGAGGTCCAACGCCAGTGTGTGGTTCCTGTCATGAACAGGACGGTATATATACTATTGGAAGAGGGCGTTAATCACGATATGTGCACAGCCTAGTAGAAAACGTTTCTAAGCTAGTATAGGAGAAACCAGTGTCTCCCTTCGTTTAAGGTTACTGATGGAGTAGGGGTCCCAGCCCAGCGGCTCATTCCGAGGCTTAGTCAGTAGAGTAGCGCAGGTCGTCGGCCCAGTTAGTAGAACAAACGAGGATAGATAGACGAGCAAGCCATCTCCTCACCCCAGCTCCGCAGTCTGAATCCCAGCACCCTGTCCATCGTGGTGAACAGAGCGAACTCGAACTAGTCCAAGTCACCTCAGCCCTCAGCCCTCAGCCCTCAGCCCTCAGCCCTCAGCCCTTAAACCGAAGCAAAACGGAAACGTGTTCGTTCACACGAACACGAAGCAAAACAAACCTTATGTTTACATGGTATTACGCCTAGAAAGGCTAGGCTAGACGGCAGGTGTCCTTGATAGACACCTGCACAATTCACAAAAAGGGCTGTACCAAGTCGTCATTTTACGTGGACTCCCATCGGAAACTGATGGCCCGCAGTTTAAGACCCAGATCGGATAGCGGAAAGGCAATAAAAACAAAATGCATAAAAGCTGATTCATCCCTGTCAACATCAGTGGCAACATCCCCCTTAGACACCCCAGACCAACGCTCTCGAAGCTCACCCTTGGCAGTACTTTTTAGAGCTTCCCACGGTCTTTCAGACTGGGTTTCTTGATATGCGATAACCTATCTCTAAGACGTCCCCCCTGCAAGAACCTCCCGCCCAATTCCCAAACTTCCAACCAGATTCCTCTCGAGGTACGCGGACCTCTACCTCTGTGAACTGAAGAAGATCTCCGTAGTGCTTATGCCACACTACACGAGTCCCAGAGGTCTGGGAGGCACATACAAAGAGGTCATAGAGGATCATCTCACAAGATTTGTCAGGAACATTTCGCATTTGTTGAGGCACACTACACTTGACGACGCCCACACTCGTAGGAAGGAGTCTTGTTCACATGTAAACAGAGTACTCCGGGCTTGTTTAATGAAAATTTCACACATTGTCCCAGTGACGCGCTGAATTTATGAAAACTGCAACTGAAAGTAGAGTAACCGGATGTTCAAACCACATAGAGAAGCACAACATTAAAGGGGTGAGGTACTGAAGATGTTAGACGACGAAGGTGATGCGGACGAGACTATGAACAGCATAAGGGCTGACGACAGAACAGAGACAGGCAAGAAGGGAGGTGGCAATGTCGGAAATATCTATTTTGGGTTGCCATGCCTTAAAATGGATTGAAAGGTCTCAATTTGCTGGCAGCATGATGACTGACTTGCAAGAACACCCGAAATTGCCATAAGCCAGTTGGCAGTGACCCATTTGGTCTTGTGTCTGCCTTCCAAGGCAGTGCTAAAATGCCAAGTGACCGTGCCTTACAAGGCGTTAAAAGACAGTTCCAAGTGCCAAGGTACCTTCCAATAATATTTTATCATTTCAACGGAATTTCGACATACAATGCCAGTTTCAATTCAACTGATAAAATTCCAACAATAGAAACAAAATTGAAACTGTGATAATTGAATTGCATGAACTAATGAATTACAATACTAATCTTTGACGCCCTGAGATAAGTCACAATCTATCAACCAGGGCTCTCAACAACGCCTGCTTTCTGTTTTTAGTCATGGTGGACATCTATTGGGTGAGTGTCATATACCTGATCCGACCGCTCTGACATATTAATATCCGCTCCGCCCGTCCTCCACTCCGTCCAATCATCTTCCGACCATCTGCTCCTATGCTTCCGCTCAACTGCCTGACCAGTCACCTTCCGTAATGTCTCCATTCAACTGGAACCTCTTTCCCCTTTTAGGTATATACTTTCCCCATTGGTACATAACCCTTACTTCCGGATCACCAGTAAATCCTATTACCGCTCAATTACTGATCTGACACATACATATTGATATCTGCTCTGACTCTTATGTTTTCTGCTATAGTCATACTTACATACTGTACATTCAATACATAGCCTTCAGCTATGTACCACTGATCACTGCCTCCTACCTAGAAGTATATAACATATCCTGTACTTAGCTAGTTTCTCTAGTCTTAATATTACTTGTCTTCTCACAGTCTCTACTTGTGAGAATTCTCAGTAGGACCTTGCCCCCTCTGGACACAAGTTTCATCTTGTTGTCACCTCTGACCTTCTGCTCCGACTTAGAGCCATGCTCTAAGTCTTCACTATTACTTCCCCAACTCTACCAATTAATCCCCCTGCTCCTATCCACCTTCTGCACTATCCTCCGCCTTCCCCACTCCGCTCCTAGTCGGTCTGCCACTAGTAGCATTTACTTCCTGACCCTCAAAGCAGACCTAAGCAGTCTGCTCGTCCTATCGTCAGACAATGTTGGACCCGCTCCAAATTTGGGGCACATACTTGGCTGAGGGCGCAGCACAAGAGCTGAAGCCAAGCCCTGACCCCTCCGCTTCTTGAGCCTGGCACAGTACCTAACAGTGAGTAAGAGCTGTGAAACAATTGTGCATGTGGTTGTCACCATTGCTGTTGGCAGGAGAGGAACAGCTGAGTGGTAGGAGAGGCAGCAGTAGAATCTGGTGGTGGAGGTGTGCAAGGGTACTGGATGGATTTCAGAGGGCAGGGAAAATATTGCTTAATGGGTGCTGTGGCCTCAGGACATGGTGGGTGCATACTGTGTACTGGCAGCAATGGCAATGAGAGGGGGCAGATTGGGAGTGTCAGAGGCAGGATAATTATATATATAAAATAATGATACCTGTGTTGCTGCCATTGATGTTGATGTTGCTGTTGCGGCTGTGGCTGCTGTTGCTGTTGCTGCTCACAGACTGGTTGCAACAGCAATGAGAGAGGGTGGGTTGGTCCAGGGAGTGTCAGAGGCAGGATAGAATTTTAAAAATAATAACAGTAATACCTTGGACTGTGCTGCTGCTGCTCATTGACGGATAATCCAGTATAGAGGTTTGTTACAATGATGAGTGGTGTTGAATGTGACAATGGGGTTCCCATTGGACTTCAATGAAAAGCTTGTGGTCAGAAGGTTGTGTAGTTGGATTTCAAGAGCTGAAGTAAAGTTGGTTTTATTGACTTATTTTACCAAACACCTGTAAAACACAACGGCACGTGACCTTGCTGACGAATCAGCAACCTGACGCGTCCTACGCGTCCTTGGTTCTCACAGATCTGCAGCTCCTGTTCCGTCGCCTTCGCATTGCGGGACGCACTGCACCAATACCTGCGCTCGAGGACTGCTTGTCAGCACTGAAACCACTCACTGACGGAGCTCGCCGGGCTCCTAGTGTCGCCGTTTTGCGTTCAACCACCTCATGCTGTTGCAAGGCAATTCTGTTGAACTTCGGCGTGCACACACGCAGAAAGACGGCGTGATTAGTGTTTTTTTCTGCCCGTATGTACAGCTGTAGATACATGCACCCCTGCAAACAGAAGTGTTAGAATTTGCTTCATTAGTCTGGTGAAAATGATCGAGTGTGCCCGCCCGCCCTGTCCATGTAAAATTCCGCCGCCGGAGCTCTCAGCCACCCGTAAAATCTTGGGATTTTACAGTAAAATAAAGTGTGGCGGACACTTTACCACCACTTTTCCGTTCTTTTCTTGTAAAATGCAGCGCGCAGTGCGCCAAAAAATCGCATTTCTGGTTCCCTTCCCTCAAAATTTTGCTCTAGCTGTGGCCTTACATCCACACTATAATATTTGCTGCTCTTGTCAATCCTAGAGGTATGTACAACCAACCGTTTTACTATTTACAGTGTATCTCATGCGCTCAGACCCAGGGGTGCTCCCTAAGAAGGCAATGTGACTGTTGGTCACAATCACACTGCTCTTTGTCGTCAGGTTAGTGGTTACCTCTGCACTCGACAACTTCTCGCCGAGCCTTCATCATTCAGTGTCCTTGTGACAATTGCCATGCTCAGGCCCTTTGGGTGGATCCGAGCTAGATCTGTGGCGCGTTTATTCTGACTGAACCAGAAGCTTGTGAGTTTTTTTTTTTCATTTTCTTCTTTCAAATCCCCCCCTCCCCATGATGCCTGGTTTGGCCGTCTTGCCCCAGGCCGATTGGCGGAGCATTGCATCTCCCTTTCTCCACATTCAGGTCTTAACCTAATGATCTTTGTTAACCAGCGTGTCCCCATGGTTGTCGTCGCTAAGGTTGGCAACCCGCTTGAAGCTAATGATGCGAAACCTGGAAACAGAGGCAAGCGTGACTCGCAGATCTTTTGGTCCGTGATCTTTGCAGAACCTTCTGTTTCTCAATGCAATTCATTGTGGGTATGGAACTTTTGGGAACGCTTGTCCTTCCCGTGGCTATCAGTTTCACTCTTTACCTCATCATCATCTCGATCATTCCTGGCGGTGCCAATACTACCATTCCCCTCGTGCTGTTGGCCATCGTCCTCGGTCTACCTGGTCTTCTCATTGTCGTGACGTCATGCAAGGTTGCGTATGTCGGATGGATGATTGTATATTTGTTTTCGCTGCCCATATGGAATGGTCTCCTCCCTGCTTATGTGTTCTGGCATTTTGATGACTTCTCATGGGGTCAGACGCGGCAGATTGTGGGTGACAAGGGTGGCGACCATAGTGACAAGGAGGGAGAATTTGACTCCTCGCATATTGTCATGAAGCGTTGGGCCGAGTTTGAGCGTGATAGGTGGTGGAAGAGTGGGGTGCAATCCCGTGACTCGACCGTGTAGGTCTTTTATTGATAGCGCATGTTATTTCTTATAGCTGACTTCCATTACAGCAACCGGTATTCCATGGCGTCGAATTCTGATATTAACCACCCGAGATCTAATGGTGGTCTCAACTCTTCGACAACGGAGTCTATGCCCAGTGCACCTTACACATCTGGTGCCCAGTCAAGACACGACAGTAACACCCTTCTTACGCTCCCCGTGCCACTTTCTGCCAGCAAGAACCACGCCTCTTTAACGTCAGCCTCATCAGCTGCCATCTTGTGCTCCAGCGCTCAAACCAACGGCTTGTTCTGAGCCCGCAAGACCAATACATTGATTCACATAATGAATCTCCGGTACCGTGGTACCCTCAGTTTGGACACTCTCTGATGGTTCCCATCGCACCCGACTGTGACAATCCATGAAGCCTATCGCCGCCTCCAAGAGGGAATTGCTACTAGCAAATACGTTCACCCCTCTACTCTCGGGCGGCTCATCAACGGCTTTGGCCGTGTCGGTGATCTCGAGAAGGTCCACAGCCTGTATGATATTGCGCAGATTGTATTGTACTCGATCGATAACAAGCAGTGGCAGTCTCAGGCGTGGTTCCAAATTGAAGACCAGATGATCATTGCATCCGCGCATGCCGGAGACATGGAAGCTGTGTTCCAGCACCAAGATCGCATCACATCCAATGGCGGAATTCCTTCTCCTGACGCATATGGCTCACTCATAGAGTGTGTCAAGGACACTACCGACGACACTTCGAACACCATGTCTCTTTTCAGCGAGGCACAGATGCTTGGCTGCACACCCAACATTTACCTCTACAACACGATTATCTCCAAGTTGGCTAAAGCATGCAAGGCTGATTTCACACTCAAGCTGTTCCAGCAGATGAAGGCTACGCCCATCTTCGATCACGTATGGCGCTGTTATTGCTGCCTGTGCAGGTGTCGGTGATGCTCAATCTGCTGAGCAGTTGTTCTTGGAGATGTCTTCCCAGCCCAACTTCAAGCCTCGCATCCCGCCATACAACATGATGATGCAACTGTATATGCACACCAAGCCTGATTGTGAGAGGGTGCTCTACTATTACGATCAACTTCTTCTTGCTGGTGTCAAGCCTTCTGCTCACACATACAAGGTAAGCTATCCATTTTTGCGTTATCTCTCACTCTTTAAATTTGCGTTTTAGTTACTCATCGATGCATATGGAACTATTGAGCCTGTTGCTAGTCGGAATCCCTGCTCTGGTCCTGGTCTCGATGGCGTGCGTTAATCATTCCCTGCATATGGTACTTAAACTAAATGTCTTTTTAGATTCAATCACTCTGAACAGCCTTCACTTTGAATACTGCTCTCAAGCGCCTATTCCTCTCCTCTACCAACATGACCTCACAGGGCACTATTGCGCTCGCAGAGTTCCTCCCTGAATCAAACTCCTTGCTCCACCTTGATCTCACAGTCAACAACTTAGACATCACTGCCGTTATGGCGCTTAGCTCGGGACTCAAGGCTAATCACATGATGCGGTGTCTCGACCTTATGATACCCCCAGATGATGAGGAGTTCGCCAAGTGAGTGTCTAGTCATCTGTACAGTTCGTTTCATGGATACGAGCGTCCACAGAATGTGTCGTGAGATTCTCAATACCTGTATCCGGAACACGGAGGAAGCAGAAAAGGCGGCACACATTTCTGATGGAATTTGCAGTCCAACAAGCAACAGAGGACTTGGTAAGGGTGTGTGGAACATGATCCAGGAAAGTGAACTAGCCAAATCGATACGTCAAGGTGGCAGGCTCAAGGTAAATGATACCCCCGCATATATGAACAGCCTGCTTACGATCCTGAAGAGCGCTGAAGCTGTGTCAAGAGCACATGCACTACTCTCTCAAATCGAGAGCTCGATGAATAGCCCGACGTCTATTTCAGTTATATCTCCTGGCACCTCCCCAACCATCGTGCGACCTGTGGATCAAGATCTTGTTCAGCAAGCCAAGACCATTGTTGATGAAATCGCAGACAAGATACAGACTATGACAGACATCATAACTTGATCTGGGTCATGATCCTACGGCGCAGCCCAACACTTCCACGGATGCGCTAATGTGAGGCAGTTCTTCCTAAAGATGGATTGACCTAATGGACACTGTAGTCTACTCTTTTGCAATGCAACTATTCATCCTCCGATTTGATGTCATTGCTGTCCTCTTTATGGTCGTCCTCTTCGTCCTCTTCCGTCCTGCTCAAAATCTCAGCGACAGCGCACTCCTCGGCCACCTCCCTCATCTCTTCTATGACCTCCACTGTTTCCTCGTAACTCGTGAGGTACTTATAAACAGTCCTGATGACATCGGCTTGAAATCCTTGCTGGTTTGCAAGCGATTGAATTAATGCCTCGAACCCGACCTGGGCGAAGTGGGCAATGTCGCCCTCATGTATGTCGGTATAAGTGGCAGATGTCCCTGAAGTTGTAGCAGAACTGCTACTAGGCTGTTCTGTAGTACAGTCTTTGAAGAACATCAGTTGGAGCATCATGGCTGTAGTAGTGTGCATGAGGATGATTTCTCAATGTGGTTCATACCATGATGAGTACGAACCGGTGTTGTGTTTGATGCTTTGAAAAGGTGCAGGATGACATGTGGATGACAAGAGCCCCTCTAGTGTTCAAAGTTGAATTAACAGACCCCTATAGCATCGGGTGCGTGACATGCCGCACGCATGTTGGGTTGCACTCTCATTCACACTCATTTCATTATTTATCGCACTGGACACACTACTGTATTTTTAACCATGGCTTGGGGGATAACGAAGAAAATCACGTCTGCTGTAAAGAAGTCAGCAAAAGGGAAGGCAACTACTGCATCGGCATCAGCCCTGATGGCACAGCGAGAGGAAGCACGGCGGACATTACTAAAGGCCAAGGGCACATGGTCGCAGTACGACGGACACCTGGTGCGGGGCCGCCAGTTCCTTGCAGATGTGGTCGAGCAGAAGAAGACTGCTCATACAGATGGTACTCACACCCAGGCCGATGGCGAACTTGTTGACATCGATGCCTATAGCCATGCATTTGACGACACTCCCAACAGATACTCTGCGTCTGTGCTCGAACTCTTTCTCGTCCAGAAGGGTTTGATGGAGGTGTGAAGTCTCAGCACAACGTGGGGCGTGTTCTCGGCTTTCAATGATCTGTGGAAGAACTCGTGAGTGATCGCACACTCATTTTATGACACAAAATTGGATGATGTACAGCCAAGGGGAGACCTACCGAGGGCCGTACCACTTCAATTCAGCGACTGCGGTAGTCACTGGAAACCCAGCTCAGTCCGCGGCCGTGCAAGACATGATGGAAGTTTTGAAGAACAATGAGGGAGCAGAAGGTGGCAGCAGGAACCATGCATCTGCCATGACAATTGAGGACATGCGGAAGGTGATGGCATGGTCCTACAAGCAGTGCCCTGATGAGCTGATCAGTCTCATCTATTCCCGAGTTCAGAGCGAGTCGGCTCTTGATATGGACAATGTAATTTTAGCCCAGAAGCACCTCGTAATCCGTGCATTCGCAACCACAGGCTTTACAATTTGGACACGGTGCGTCCATCAGCGTGGAAGTGTGAAGACTAATTATATTGGCCACCTAATCCCCCGCAGAAATTTCGAGCTTACGAAAATCAGACGAAAGGACATTGTTTGGAATTGCCAGGGATGCCCGCCATACGACATCCCTTATGACTTAGTGAGCCTGCTCAACCGCAAAGGCTGGCAGTGAAAAGGCGAGACTGATGGTGCCTTAGACGGTAATGTCCTATGTGCCCCCAAAGGCTGAGTCCTGACATGTAGCTTCAAGATCACGAGTATGAGATCTACCCTCAACAACAGACACCTGAGATCTGCATGTTCACACATCTGCGAGCCTGGGTGAATTTCTTGGAGGAGGTCCTTCTCCGGCGGCCATTGGAGCCTGATGAATTCATCTTCGCGCGAGTGGGTGCAAACAGTGTGGTCTATGCCTCCGACCAGCTGTCGTATGATGGTGTGATGAAGATGCTCGCCTGGATGTGCAAGGAGGTAGGGCTGACAGCTAGGTACACCACCCACTGCTTTCGGCGAGGTGGTGCAAGGTACCGGTTCATGTTCACACCTCTGGGACAGCGCTGGTCACTTGCTACCATTCGGTGGTGGGGTGCGTGGGCCGAAGGCGAAAGCGTGAGTGGCCTGCTAATCTATATTGTGAACCAACCAATCTGTCCCCCACTTGGACAGGTCGATACACTGATATGGTACCTTCTGGACGAGCTTACCTGATATGAGAAAAATCACCGGGATGCACTGTGCCCAATTCCTCGGGAAGGTGACAAGAGCTTCAATGGTGATCACATTTTGACAGCACCCATTACTGCAGCGGAAACTCAGGAACTCAAGATGTCATTTGATCATGAGCTGAACTGTCTGTCTGGCAAAGTTGAGGAAGTCCTAGACAAACTAACCCTTGCTCCGGCCTCTTCCACTTATTCCTCGCCATTGCCAGCACCCTCGCAACCTCCGATATTGGTCTCTTCCCCCCAGTCTCTACAACCAACCCTGTGCCATCAGGCCACCATTTCACCCTTTCTGGAGAGTGCCTCCACTCCTTCTATGATACCCAGCCCAGTTCCCGTGGACTCAACTTCTTCTCCCTCGCCTCCCGCCTTTCCAACAACACGGGCACTTCCCTCCAGCAGCCGTCAGCACGGCACCACAGCAAAAAAGGCAGCTCCCATACCTGGTGTCGGAATCCCGGACCTTCCACGCGGACCAGAGGCGTGGCGCACTGCTGTGAAGCAGTGGGAAGACCCTGCTGCATCTATTGGCGGTAAGGCACTGAAGGATTGGCCGGAGGAGTGGTATACCGGCCCTATGCGCACCATCACTGGCGTGAAGCGGAACATCCGGAAGGTGATCGCTATGGAATTCTACCGGTGAGTTGCCCTTCACGCTGATCGTGGGTTCAGCAATTGCAACTTAGACCACGTCACTGCTTCCGCAGGCTGCAGCGGGACGAGGCAATATTTGTCGAAGCATACCCTGAGGCAACCTGCGGTGTCAAGCCACTTTTTGACGCAGTCCAACGCCAACGCGAGGGACGCAGTGAAATCACCAGACGAGCAAGTAAGAATGGCTGCCCAGAAGTCTGAGTATCCTCCCGCTGAGTATCCAGACTGATATCCACACTCTATGTATCAGTATCACCCACATCCACGCACACATTTTGTAGCGTATATCACACTATCACGCCCCGCTGTCGCTGGCACGACATTCCCGGGACCCACACGAGCTCTCGCACAGCTGTATCTCTTCATTCGCAGGCATTCTGTTCTGGTTCATTAGTTGTCCGCTTTGTCAGTAGTTCGTGTTTGTCGGTACATTCACACCGCGATTTTTGGGGGGATGACACAATTCGATTTGTTTTGCAGAATCTTCCGTCGTTGTCGTTCGTTGTCGAGACTCTCTCGTCGGCAGCGCAGTAAGAATGAAAACTTCCCCAACCAATAAACAACAGGAATCCGGCGGAACCCGAAAGTCACGTGACCGTAAAACAGTGTAAAATGTTCGACATAAGTTGGCATGACTGGGAATGTAATAGCTGCTTATTCAGCTATTTGATTGTGTTTACTTATTATGATAATCAATCAAAACAGGAAGGGTATGTGGGCATGAGTGCAAAGTATCAAGACAAACAGTGCATGGTTAGAGTGATATATTACTTATTGTGGCCAGACCTGTGGACCTCAGCACCTGATTCATCTGCCTTGGCTTTGGTTTGGGCTTTGGGGGGATAGCTCCAACCACATTAGGCTCTATGTGGGGAGGACCACCTGCCAAGGTAAGGTCTTGCATTGCTGAAGAAATGGAGTTAGATGGTGCTGCAATGATAGGAGTGGCCAGGAGCAAAATGACAGGGGCATATGCTGAGGTGGACAATGGGCGTGCAACAGAAGCAGATGGTGGGTGCATGACAGAGGAAGATCGAGCAACAGGTGCAATGACAGGATCAAATTGAAAAGCTGGCCCATCACCTCCCTCTTCCATGGCATGCTCAAATTCCCCTTCCCAACTGTTGTGGGAAGTGCCTGTATCTGTGATGTCTAGGTTGATGTGTGAGAACGAGGTTTCAGGAAAGAGGGTGTTGTTGAAAAATGTGAGGATTTCTCACACCCAGGTGCCTCCAGTCATTAGATGTTGGTGATAGTAGTTGTGATATTGGTGGTACATGATGTTGCTTTTTTCACCCTTTGCATACAAATCCTTGTTGCCCGAAAGAACAAATATTGCCTGCCAGTGGGACAAACATAATCAGCACACACTCAGTTACAATGTTAAAGGAAGACTTACAATGACAGCAGCAGTAGCGATCATACCCGGAGTAGTATTCTGTAATTGCCAAAGTTTGCCCTTAGTCTTGGGAGCTGAAACATTGGTGGTGGAAAGAGAGGATTTCCCAAAAAGCACTACTTTTAAAACCTAATAATAGGAGCCAGATGATCAAGACCTTGTTTGTTTACATAGAACAACATACACACCTGAACAAGCTTTGCTGTTTTGAGAAATTTGTCTTTGTTGGGCCGCTCTGGATGAAGAAAGAGTATGGGAGCAAACTTTGTGTATTCACCATGGGGATTCACAAGCAAAACATGGCATTCTGACTGGGTATTGCGAGGGTAGCTGAGTTGACTTGGGTTTAAGCCTAAGTCAAAGGACAGAAGAGCAGGGCTTAGAAAAGGTAATATTCAGACTGAGTATCTACAGACAAAAGTACATATGTTTATATACTCTAAGTAATGAGCATAGCATAGCAGGAGGCTATGTGCTGAGTGTACAGGATTACAAGAGATGACTGAGATATATGAGAAAGAGGCTCAGAGAATAATATGTACATGACAGATCAATAATCACTTGGGTATAGGGATTACCAGTGATCCAAAAGGAGGAACTATGATACTAAACAGAGATAGGACCAGTTGAGTGGTTCCTAGTCTAGGAGTGGACCAGTGAGGCGGTTGGGCGGACTAATCATCGGGTGGGGCAACACGAGTGGAACTGAAGGAACCGAGTGGGTCAGAAAAGTGGAGGGAGTAGGAGTAGGATTGGGCAGACCAATAGGGCAGAGGAGCGGAACTCTAGATTGGGTCGAATGGAAGGGGTATAGTGTCAGAGGAGATAGGGGTAGTGTTGGAGGAGCAGAGCGAAGTCAGGCGGAGGTAGCAGGGCTAGTCCTGCTGAGATGCACTTCGTGCATTGTTGGAGAAGGAGGGATGGAGCAGACAGGGAAACAGGGGGTCAGACCAGGGGTGGGGATGTTCACAGGTGGTATTGGAGGTGCCTGGATCCGGTATATGACAGAAGCAGGGAAAATAAGCTTAATTATCACACGAGACCAGTTCATCAGAAGTTTTAACACCCATAAATAAAGGAACATTATCACCAAACTCAACCCTACATTGACTCAAACTTTAAACTTCTATCAGGGCCCAGCGCTAAGCTCTTACTACTCCTGATCCCATTGATTTGGATTTTTGATAGTTAGGCGTGAGTTCATGATAAGCCAGATAGCAGATATGGAATTGATATTCCAGCTGGTTCGAAGATACATGAGTTACACGATGATCAATATCTAGCTATTTGTCTCCATGGATGGCGCTCCACAAGGTGACAAGTCAGCAATGCCAACCCCTAGTAATTCAAGTAAAACGTGGTACATGGGTATATAGTATGAATCAAGTTTACTGTAGATTGATATCAGTTATGAGCTTCGTAGTAGGATTATCCTCACTTTCAATGAATTTTTCGTGGTCCTGGTCTTGCCCGCAGCCATCTTTGCTTCCTTCTGCCTAGCATGACCTGATGTATATTTCAAATGCATCATGATCATATCATTCAGCAGCCAGAAGCCACTGTAGTTTTATAAGTCCGGGAAAGCATCGACAGCCTGACAAATGATAAAATTGTGGACAACTGCCATCCATAGTCTACTCACCTTGTCATGCACAATTTTCAGGAGCATATAGTTTTGGGAAGAAGCACACTTGGTCGTATCAAGATGTTCTTCAATGAGGTGGTGCATATATTTCTTACAGGTTCATGAGCAAGTAGCATGCTGTGGTGAGAGCATGTCACTCATCTTGAACTTAGCATATGCCTTTGGGTTTCAGTCTAAAGCCTTGTGGAGTGTGCATCCTCCATGCCCTGGATGACCAGGTTCACCAGGGGGCTTGGGTATCTTTGAATCTTCTGATAGACTCTCAGTCAAAGTTAAGGAGCCACTGTCTGATGCTGAATCCAATGAATCTGAGGGCATGGGCATTTGAGAATGTGAATGTGAACACTCAAACGGTTTCTTTGAGTATGGTGAGGAAGAGTGGTCATTCTTGAACAGCTGTACTGCAAGTTTGAACTCAGGCACCAGCGTGTCCTTGAGTTGCGGGTGCTTAATATGCTGAGTGGGTGGAACAACAGTACTGATTCTGGAAGGAAGAATCTCGTCGGCAATGAGCATAGTTGAGTGGTGAGTGCTGCCAAATAGTTCAAGCTGGTCCATGAGCATAGGAGGGAAGGGAGGTGGAGCACCAGGCTCTTTATCACAGAAAGCAGGGACAGCGTTGGATTTGTTGAGCATGATGTTGTAGTTGTGGCAATGTGAGTGGGGTGACTAGGGCAGGTCAAGATATTGGCTATGAACTGTAATAACCTCTAATGAGATTTATCCCCAAATGACACCACTCAACATAGACCTATATAAAGATTAAACAATAAGGACAATCAACAAAAGAAGTCACCTATGAGATCAAATAAATGAGTCCTAAATATAATAGAAATATGAAATTGTTATGTAAGGATGAACACAAACATCGGGAAACAACAAATGGCTAGCAAATTGCCATGGAATCAACAAAAAGTTGCAAAAACAAATCAGAACCTAATATAATAAGCTGTGAGCAGGTGAACTGGCGACTACAACCAACCAGATTGTGCAGGCAATAATGTCTTTATTTGCCTCGTCACTCTTCGTGAAATCAAAGCAACACTTCCAACATTAAACATGCCTTTCGACATATGGTGGGTCCATTCACGCACTTGCAATATCTAATGATGGCCAAGCTCTTGTATGTGGTGGTAATTTGACATGCACTTTGTCATGGGAGGTGCTAACAAACAAGCAGGGACTGAGGGCATCAAACTCTGGGATATCAAATCTCAGAAAGAACTTGCATGTTCGATTCATCACCATGAGTCCTGAGGCACAGTCAGCTGCGCTATCTGGGTCACAACAAGATTGGGCATGGCAGAAACCCTTTGTTATGGAACCAGGCTGGGCTACATCATATTCTTACGACGTAGCCATGTAGATGTGGGTGTCCTGGTCTCATCATTGAACCTTTGGCTAACATCCAACAGATGCATTTTCAGGAGATCTGTGCTAGGAGGCTTGGATTGGGCTTTGAAATTACTTGCATGGTATAGGATTCAACATCCTCCAAAATGACTATGCAGATTGCAGTGGGAACAAGGGACAAGATAGTTCAAGTCCTCATTCTCAACACAAACTCACAGCTGCAGGCCATGTTTTCAGTATGACTCGATAACACAGTGTTACGGGAAAGCCTGGCTTTCCAACAGTGCACTTGATAGGGTCAATCCCATGTCCGCTTCATAGAGCACCGAGACGTTGGAAGACTGAATGAAGGCTATTCATCCAGAATGACTGACTGGAGGTTCAAAGAAGAAGCTAGAGTCATAATCACAAGTGAAGATCAAGTTAGAGAAATACATGGTCCAACTACTGGGGTATATATAGGTATTGTCCTATGAGTTCAGGGTAGGCTTGTGTAGCCAGAAAGTGTCCCAACTAGGTAAGTGTCTATGTGAGTCATAAGGACTCAGAGATAAGAGTCACCAATCCAATGGTAAGGGTCCAGGGTATGGTACTGGCACAGTGGTAGGTGTCCAAGTCAGATAATGCTATCTGCCATGATAAGTGATAAGGCGATAAGCAATAGTCATTACTGGTGTATTGGTAGAGGTGATAAGGGAGAAGCACACGGCTTCTATTGATCCCGGTCTAGGTCAAGTCTAGAGTTGTCATGCTCCAACAGCTGTTATGCTGTGCTTTGCAGTTTAGTCATGTGCTGGTGATATCATCTGTTACACGGTTGTGATGGCAACATTTTGCTGGAGACGATAGGGGTCTGAGGGTCCCTGTAATACACAGTGCCCAAGTCTGTAGCATTTGCAGACAATGGATGTGTCTATGTCTTCAGACTATATGATGGAAACTTCATCAAACTGAAAGGTGATGACAGTGCAGTGGTGAAGGAATATAGCTGCCAATCAGTTATGTAAGAGTCCATGGTATGTAATTGACAAATGTATCACTGACCTTCTTTCAGTGGACAATGCTACCAGTGGTTTAACTTTATATTGACTTGAAGGTGACAAGGAACCAGTTCAAACATTTGTGACTGCTGCTCCAAGTGTGTCCATCCCCAAGCAGGTAGCATTTGCCACACAAGGAAAACTGATTGTCAGGGAGAGTGATCATGGATTGGTGTATGTATTCAAGAGGAAATCAGGGAAGTTATTTGAGACTCTTTGTCACTCCAATACAGGCTTGGTGCAGACAATAGCGGTAGGTGTCAAATTATTCAAAGGGTAGGATGGGTACTGATTATCTCCCAAGACACATGATCTTAATGGGCACTGTACAGTCACCAGTGCTTCACCAGTGCTAGGCTGTGGAAAGGCTACAATCAACTTATGGGTCTATAACTATGGACTGGCAAAGGAAACTCTTACCTCTGAAGATTCCTGGCCTATGTTGCATGTGATTACATATGCATTCAAAATCCTGGTTCATTTTGGGGCCTTGGTGGTTATCATCTGTTTTTTGATAACAAACAGCTTCATAAGTCAAGTGGCAGCTCAGCAGCAGTCAACAAATTCATACCTTCACAGGACGCAGTGGCAACATGGTCAGGAGACCTTGCCCAATGCATGGGAATTACTCAAGTGCTTGCCTTTTTGGATAACAACTTCTGCCAAAGTGCTAAGGTATTCAACGAAGTACCAGAAGCCCACCAGGAAGTGGACAAACAGAGCAACATATTGATGCTACATGAACTTGCAGGAAAATTCATCAAAGTCATTTGAGAAGCAGAGAGAGATGGAGGTGTGGGTGAGGATATTCACAATGTGACCCAACACAACAAGATTGTCACAGAAGCTGAAAGGGTATTTTTTGAGGCGGTGAAGGCAGGAGAAGACAATATCAGAAGAGCTCAGGAGATGACACAATGATTTGGGGAAAGATGACATTCTTTTGTGATGTAAAAATGTTGTAACATCTTAACACTGTCTCCTGTTTGTTGCATAAACCCCTCCACATAATGTGGAGGGATGGTGTTACAGTAACGACAAAAGACAAAATGCCCCACTTTATTCTGCCATACCACCAACATGTGGCTAAACTGTGCAGAAGAGCAAGACCACTCTAGACTTGCACCATGGTTACATTTCCATTTATATCTCTTTCTTCCTTCTCACGTTGACAAGGGGATTCCCCATTGTACCATTGCGTCAGTTCACCCTATGCCCATACCACTATCTTGGTATCTCCGTTCTGTCAGGTCATGCCCTTGACCCTGCCCTTTGCCCTTACTGCTGTATTGGTTCTACCCTACATCACACCCTTTACCCTTACCTTTCTCTTGAGATGATACTCTTTGTTACAGTAACATGAGCGTTACACGTCATTTCATTCTTCAGACTTGTCTAGACCTGGACCCTGGTTATGATTCTATTCTTGTTTCTTTCTTTTTGATCCCATTGTTCTGAAATGCGAGAAGCTCTCGCTTCTACCCCTAGATCACAGAAGCCACAGTGTCTACTGAACCCTATGCCCTTCCCACTATTTTAGTTCTCTCATTGATGGGGATTCCCCATGCCCTTTGCCCTTACCGTTCAACTGGTACTACTTACCCCTTTTCATATGTGACTCATACATACCCTTGACCCTTACTGATACTTTGGTAATACCTCCGTTACCCTGTACCCTTACCGTTCCACCGGTATCTCACCTTACGTATATATGTCACTTCTCTTGTAGATAGATTCTCTAACTTGAATCTACTCGGTTCACATCTGATACTTGTCATTGGGTCTGAACTTCTCTTATCTAAGAGAATTCCCTCTGTACACAGAACCATCTTCTCTGGTTTCGCGTAACACTCTTGAGTTGAACTCCAGTCTCTTGGATCGACCCTGACCCAAGTCAAATCTATAATGACCACCACTGATCCCGCCATCGGAAAAAGGAAGGAACTAGTTGCAGGAAAGAAAACACATGCAATGGCTAAGTGAATCATCTGGTATCATGTCGCAGTTTACTTACAACTCACTTGATTGTAGAGGACTTTGCCACATCAAATGGGGACAACAGCACGAGGGTGGAACCAACTCTCAGTTTGAGACATTCTGGAAGAAGCTTGATCTTGCAGAAAGACAGGTGCATGTCACGTCATCTTGACTCTGCAGATCGTTGACAAGATTTCACATGACAAGAAATATGCCAACAAACTCGCTGTCGCAAAAACTGCCACCAGTAGACTGCCAAACCACAAGCCTGCTGTTGCTCCTTTGAACATGGATGCCAGTATACTCGAAGGAGTCCTAGAGGATAAGGGAGCAGATGTATAATGAGGGGCTTGTTTCTTTGCTTCGCAGGCCCATTGTCTCTACATTCATCATGGCCTCTTTGTTCTATTTGTTTCCCTTTCTCACTGCATGCTCTCGTTGGAGCAGTGGCTAGCGGCTTTAGCTTTGTTATGTTATGATGAGTGTCTGTGATGATGTACTTTACTACAAACAGGCTGAGACTAAAGCTACTTGTTGACTAAGCTGCGGAAAGGGCCGACTGGCCCTTGGTGTATAGCTCTTGCTCTTGGGACCCCTGGTCCATGCACCCCCCTAAAAACAATTGGCGCCGCCCTCGACACCTCTTCTCTCCTCTCCTTCTTTCCTAATGTCCTCTTTGTCTGTTTCTTCATCACTTTCCTCATCGCTTTCCTCCTCATCTTCGTCTTCCTTTTCTTGCGCGCTACTATCTTCCATTTCTCTATTGTTTTCCTCAGCTTCTGTTGGTTTTTCCATGACTTCTACTCTTCTTCTTTCTAACCTTGCTTCATATTCTTCTTGTTTCTTTGCTAGTGCGGTTCCTGTTCTCGGTGTGAACGCCCTTAATCTTCAAGCGCTGTATTCCCCTTGTAGCAAAGCACCTTCTAGCATTTCCAGCGTGTAGGAGTTTTGAAGTCTGGTTCTGACTCGTCACGGGACTGACCATTTGGGTAGGAGTTTTCATTCGGCTTTGAAGGTGTAGTCTAAATCATTGCGGTAGACTTGGACTAATTGGCCTGGTTTGAAAAGGACTTCCCCTGGTGCGCGCTGCAGCAATTTTTTGTCAAATGCAGCTTTGCGTTTGATGGCGTGGCAGATGGTCTCTTCATAGCAGTCCAGGTGCTGTTGTTCGACGTACGTGATCTGCATTAGGGTGTCTGACTGTCAAAGTACTGAAGTGCTCTCTGCTAATGGCGTGGGCCTGGTGTTGATGACGAGACCTAGCAACAGTTCTTTTGGGGAGAATTTCAGGGCTGGTAGGAGATGGTTATTGAGGGCGTGGATTGTGTCATTGAGATGGTTGGGCCAGGTTTTTGGGAGTTTGTCCCAAGCGGTTTCTTGAAGCTCGTCTTCTCCAAGATTTGGTGTGCATAATTGTTTGAGGATGTGTAAGAGGAGCTTATTGGTACCTTCTATGAGACCATTGATCCATGGAGAGTATGTGGCGACGATATGCAGCTTGCATGCTCTCGACTCACAAAATGTTTTGACAACTTCATTGTTGAAGTGTTTTCTGCCATCGGACATGAACATCTCTGGGTTTATAAACCCGTTGAAGATCCGCGTTAGTCCTTTGACCGTCGTCTTTGCGCTGCCCGCGGTTTTATGTTTGAGCACCCAGACATGCTGTGAGAAGACGTCAAGATAGACTCCTAAGGTAGAGTACCCACCCATTCCCTTTGGTAGCGTTAAGTAATCTCCTACTAACAGCTCGAATGGATGGTGTCGCGTGATGGGCTCTAAGAGGGAGTGTATATGAGTAGGTCCGAAGTTTTTGCACTTGGGGCAGTCTTTAATTGCTGCGAGAATAGTTGCGTCCAATTTTGGGCTGCATATGCTGTCTAAGAGAGCGATTTTGATCATGTCTCTTCCCCAGTGCCCGTCTTCCATGTGCGCTTGTGTCACTGACTTCAAAGCTTCCACTTTTGTGACACACTCTACTTTGGTTCTTGCTCTTGTTGTCGTTCCTCCTCTTAGCCGCCACAATTTCTCTCCTTCGATCACATATTGGGATGCGTGATACCTTGCCCTCCTTTTGTCCCTCAGTTCTGTTCCATGGTCCATATTGTAGATCGCCTCTACAACTTCTCTGAATACTGGCTCGTCTTTGAAGTGGTCTCGGAGGTTGTTAGCTTGCGGGTCTGTTAGCGATACGTGTAGTATGTCATTGATGATGCCTGTTCTAGCCTCCCAGTCTTCACTAACTGTCCATTCACTGCCGTCACCTTGTCTATTGGGTTGGCCTTCCCATGTCCTGCTGAGTCCGTCCACGACAACATTGAGTCGTCCCAGTACATGTCGAACGTCAACTATATTGTAGGACAATATACCCTCCTGCCATCTCGTGTGTATAATGTTCAAGTTCGCCTTGAGCAATGTGTCTCATAGAGCGCTGCAGTCCGTTTCTACTTCAATGGGGAAGCCCCAGATGATTCCTGAAAATTTGTCGAGGCTGAATTTTAGCGCTGCAAATTCTAGCAAGAAGGACTTATATTTGCACTCCGTCTGCGATGTCTGTTTGGACGCAAAGCCTATAGGGTGCATGTGCTCTACCCATTTGCCTGCTGGTGTTAACATACAGACTCATTGTGACAATACTGCTGCGAACCCGTCAATGGCCATCCGAAGTTATGATGAAATGGGAGCCGTCGTAGTGAGGTGTTTGTAGCACTGGTCAGGAGGTAATTGCCACTTTCAAGTCAAGGAACACTTTGGTATGTGTGTGTGTCCAATGTGGTCCTAATTTGAAGTTGCTCATCGCTCGCCTATATGCTGCTTTGGAGGCTGGACTGTCTATTGGCACTTTGAGAAGGAGATTTCTTAGGGGCCCTTCTCGTTTTGTGTATGCCTTGATGAGGGACTGATAGAAACCTGTAAGGCCTAGGAACGACGCTAAGTTCATCGTGTCATGGCCAGTCTACTATGGCTGTGAGCTTTGTCAAATCTGGTTTGACTCCATCCCGCCCTACTGTGCCACCTGCGAACACCGTTTCTGATACACAGAGTTGGGTTTTTCTTGGTGCGATTGAGAATTTGCATTCTCTGAAGCGCTCAAACAATGTATTCAGTTTGTCCATCATTTCCCAAAAGGTGTCTGCTGCGCAGCCTCCGTTGTCCATAAATAGCTCCATGTAATATGTGACGAGGAGGTCATGAAGTCGTTGTGCAAGAGTGTCGCAGAATGCTGTCGGGGCACCCATGATTCCCATTGGCATACATTTGTACCAAAAATACCCCCTGCCTTCAACGAAAAACACTAGATATGGGCACCATTTTTCTGGGACTTGAATCACGTAGAAGCCTGCTGCGAAGTCGAAGGTAGAGATGTACTGATGACCGCTAAGCCATTGTTGTTTAGCCAGAATATCTCCTTGAGGCATTGGTGCGACTTCTGTGACTTTGTTTAGTTGGGCAAAGTTTTGGCAGATTCACCACTTTCTGGGGTATTGTTCGTCTATTTGCACTGCAGGTGCTGTTGTGTCTCATTCTGGGAGTTCAAATGCTGGGTTAAGCCCTGCTGTCCGGTATTGATCGTTAACTCTCTGCATCAACTCATCCCAAGGTAGGCCTCCCACTTTGTGTGCTTTTTGGGTGATAACCATAGTGGCGGCACATTTGATTAGCTCGGGTGGGGCTCGTTCGATGAGGTTAGCGCTTAGCATGTCGTCTATTCATTCATTGTAGAAGCGTGATTGTTCTGGGGTCAGCGGTCGTTGGTGAATTCACATATTGAAAGTTGCATTCTCTGGTATGTTGAGGTTCAGTGTTGCGCCTGGTATTGGTAGTACCTCTTTTAATGCAAGCGCAAAGATGTCTGCGTTCTTTGCTATGAACTCATTCAACTCTTTCACCTCTTCCGCGGTAAGATCGTCTCCCAACGTGATTTGGCATTTGATTTCCCTTACTCTTGCAGCGTTAAGCAGGTCTGTCTGCCAAGTGTAGATGAAGGGATTTGCAGTTGATGGTGCTGGCTCTGGTAGGTCTCCTAGCAGCTGATTGTTTGTGTCCTCCATGATGACGTTGATATCGGTTGTGCAGACTACAGGATCGGGTAGGTCAATACTAAGCTGCTGGGAGTCTGATGAGTGCGGTGAGACTTCCCTCAGGGGGAGCTCTTCGCTCCCCATTGTGCTTTCGTGCTTTGTAACTTCCTCTTCTACAGCTGGGTTCATTCTCTCCTTGGTTTTGAGGGTTTTGAATTTGAATGTAGGCGTCCATTGGCCCATTATGATTGCTGACGGTTTTATTGTCCGGGGTTGGGGGCGCTCATCTTTGCAGTTAGATTGCGCTATTCTGCTATATTCAATACTCAAATTGACTTGCCTCGAGGGGGGTTTTTCCATACACCCCCCATAAGATTTCTCACTGCTTGATATCCAGTGTCAAGCTGACCCTGTCCGCTCGACGTAATGTGATTGGGTGTGCGATTTGGTTTTGTATTGTGGTCGAGCGTAGTCCATCCGATATGCTGATGGTGTCCGTCTTGTAGTTGTGGATAGCTTTGAATGCTTGCAACATTGGTTTTCCCAAAAGGAACCCCCATCCACCTCCACTATTGAAGACCTCAAATTCTCCTTGTGTCTTTACTCCGTTGATATCGACGACACCGTTCCATTTTGTTGATGAGTTGACAATATTCCTGTTTGCCATTTGTAGCTTCCTGGTTGATTGACTCCAATTGCCCAGGCGATGTTTGACTTTATCGTAGATTGACGTACACATTGTGCTAATCATCGCGCCATCGTCGAACAGTCCTCTGATTCTTACAGCTTCTCCTTGCGGTCCTTCTAATGAGATGTGATGCATGAACGGCGCTGCCTCTTTGCCATCCAACTGATCCTTAGTTGTTGTTAGATGTCCCACTGAATACAGGTCAACGACTGTGATAGATTCGCGAGACGGAAGTACAGTTGCAGTGGGTGTAGCTACGAGCTCATTGGAAGGTCTGGGGCAAGGTGATATGCGGTGGTCCTCGCACGGTGCCTCTTCATGTGCAAGGATGGGTGCTCCAGCTAGGTTCTCTTTGACATTCTGGGTCAGCATAGTGCCTCTTTCTACGCTGACCCATCGACTTTTCCCTCTTCTTGCTCCGGTGCATCTTCAATCCAGGCTGTATCATATTGCGGCGCATGACTAGTAACTAGCGAGATTGGTGTGGCTGTCGTGCAGTTGAATGGACCTAGCACCTTGCTTACAACTGCTCTCCAAGCGGCTTCTTTGCGAGAGAGTCGTTCTGCATGGTCTGCTGGCAATAAGCAGTTTCGACCATTGTGCCCGTGAGTGCCACAGTTAAAGCATTCGACCTTTAGTAAGTCCTTAATAACGCTGGGTAGCCTTCCTCTGACCTGCCAGATCATTGAGGTGCTTCCCACAATCCCTGCGCTGGCGGCTAACTGCAGTGCCTTGGTTGCCCAGGCCTCGTGCGTCCAACACTCCCTGTCATACAGAGTGGTTTTCGTCCCTACTTCCACATCTAACATGAGGTGCTCTAGCAGCTCCCTCTCGTGCTCTGCCTTAGTTTTCTCTGCAACTATTATTGGTGGCCAATGGCTTTCAAATGCGTTTACGAACAGTATCCAGGTTGTCTTCACGTTTGATGTGAGTGCTTTGAACCATTTCTCTGTGTCCAATCCTGTACCTAAATACACATATTGCAGTAACATATCTCCATATTATACAAGTGAACGGACGTGCATAATATCCCGTATGATACGGGCCAGCGGACCATGGGCCGAAGGTAGATATATCCTCGACTATGACGGATGGGCCGGGAGTGTTATTATTCCTGATGGAGACGGGTGGGCCCATGTAGGGAATATGTAGAGTAGATGAGTGGGCTGATGGACATGAATATTCAATAGACGGATGGGCCGAGGTAGTTGGATATTATGTAGATGGGTTTACCAAGGTAGATGTGTATCAAATAGCCGGGTGTGTCAAGGGTGCTTGTTATCACATAGATGGGTGGGCCCAGATATATATCATATTAGACAGGTGGGCCAACGAATTAAGATTATTTTGTAGATGGGTGGGCCGACATATTGGTATTATTTTGTAGACGGGTGGGCTGAGGGAGTGGTGAAATATTTATTATATATACGGGTGGGCCGAGGGAGCGGTAAAATATTTATTATATATATGGGTGGGCTGAAGGTAGTCGTATATTGCATAGACGGGTAGGCTGACGTGGGGGTATATAATATAGATGGGTGGGCCGAGAGAGCAATTTATTAGATATTATATAGATGGGTGGGCCGAGGTAGTTGGATATCACATATACGGGTGGGCCCAGATACATATCATATAGACATATGGGCTGAGGTGGTAGTATATTATATAGACTTATGGGCCAAGGTAGTAGTATATTATATAGACGGGTGGGCTGAGATGGTTGATATCATATCCACAGGCCGGGTAACATCTATCAAGTTCTGGGTAACATCTATTGATGTCCGGGTAACTAATATCGACTTCCAGGTATTTCATAAATTGAACAAATCACCAAGTACCGAGTACCGAGTTCCGGGCACCAAGTTCCGGGCATCGAGTTTAATTGTTATCATATACATGGGTGGGCCCAGACACATCATGTTGACGGGTGGGCCGAGGTTATTATATGATATAGACGGGTGGCACTATCGAGTGCCAAGTGCCAAGCTCTGACTACCAAAATTTTAATGAACCGAGCATCATGTACTGAGTTCTGGGACCCGGGACCCGGGTCTCGACACTCGAATATTTGATATCTAGCACCCTTGCAATTATCTGGTATTTCATTGACATACTAACATTGCAATGAATGATAATCCATCATAGAAAGGTGAGTTTCAACTACCGAAATTTGACTGAACCAAGCATTATGTACCGAGTTCCAGGACCCGGGTCTCGACACTCAAATATTTGATATCTAGCACCCTTCCAATGATCTGGTATTTCATTGACATACTAACATTGCAATGAATGATAATCCATCTTTGAAAGCTAAAATCAAGGTTCCCTATCTGATCCACCCTATCTCCACCACCTTTAAAGTCTGTGGACATCCAGCATTGACCATCTGATTTCCCAAGATCAACACCATCATGAATGTGTCTTCCACCTCCAATATTTAAATAACCTTCTGGCGCACTTGGGCCTTGACAGTCACTCATGAGGCATGTGAATATACCGAACAGAAATTCATTGCCGAGAAAACAGGAGGAGACCCAGTCATACCTTCTCCTAAGCTAGACACTGATCTGGTGATGGCTTGCGATCAATTGGTGGATTGCCTCCTAAAGGCATATAACAATCCCAGTGGGTCTTCCCGCAGATTCAGACAGTGCATTTGATGATTCAAATTGCTTCACAGTTTGGATGCAGATTGATATTGCGAGATACAGCAAAATGATCTCCCCAAAGGACACTGGACATAATGAAGAAAGAGAGGTGAGGTTGCTTGAGAGGTGTCCTCCTGGCCATGAAGGTACAAAGTTGGTCGACATACCTGCCACAGTTCTCGATGCTACCAGTGCCATCATTGCGTGGTACCTCCCGGATGCCCTGACAGAAACCACCCAGGTGGGTAATATATTTTGTTGCTCAATGGATATGGAATATGAAATGGGAACTCCAGAAGGAAATTCTGGCAGCCTCCGATTTGCTCAGTCCGAGCCTTGCAAAAAGTGTAAAGGTTGATGGGAGTTGGCGAACTAATCAGGATTGGTTCAAACCAAGCTTGGAAAATGATGGCATATCTCCCGGATGCATCAATCTATCTCCGGCTTGGTTTCAACAGGGGCATGAGGTGGGATCTCATGAGATGGTGGTTTCCGATAGTTACACTGACCAATCCGGTAGAATCTGTCGGACCCAGCAGTATCTGCCTCATTGAAGGGACCATTCTCCGAGAATATTCTCAAAGCCATTGCCAGTCTGGCAGCCATCGCATCAGCTGCACTCAGGGTGATGCATCCTGAGCAGTACTGGGCTGGGATACGAGCCTTTTTAAGCCTCAGACAATCAGCCGAAAGCAAGAATCTTCCGAGGATGTCAGAGACCCTCCAGTACTGGGCATCCGTGTTTAACACCCTCACCGTCATTTCCAATCGGCAAACCCCCAATCATCGAGACCACATATCCATTCCTGAATGCTTCGATATTCTCACCACCATGGGTAATTATTTGAATGCTCGCATGAGTATGCCAAGTCTTCAGCTGGAGTTTATGTACGAGCCTGGCTGTATGA